CTAGTTTTTAAGCGCCAGACCAACTAGGCTGACCCAGGCCACCCGACCCGTTGTCACCCTTACATAAGGTGTTAACCTTACACTATAAAAGTAAAGCGCACCTTAAAAACTATTAGAAAATATTGTTTCGATGTTAAAAAGCCATCCAATTAATCATCTCAACTTCAACATATATGGATTTTTTTATTTTTTTTTTAAAAAAGGAGATTCAAACCTAAAATTCTTCTTGTAACACTTATATTTAGATTATAAGATTTTTTAAATGTTTATAGATATCTCATCCAAAATTTGAATTTCATAATTAAAAGTGAAAATAGACCCATAGCAACATTTTCCAACAAAGTTATGAGGTTTATCTTAATTGTTAGAAGCTGACATTTCACCCTTTTTAATTGATGATGTTTTTCCACAATCTCTCACTCTCTTTATATATATATATAAAGAGAGAGAGAGTTGTGTTTTGTATTTTAATTTTAGTTTTTTTATACATATCTAGATTATTTAAAATTTTGAGCGTTTTCTCTTTAAATATTAGCACATTTAATAAAAATATTAAAATTAATCTATAAAAATATAAATTAACCAAAATACCCCTAAAAATTTTAAAAATATTTTAGTTAATTTATTTTTTACAAAATATTTTTAATTTTTTATATTTCATTAAGTGCAACTTAATGATAATAGTGAACACTTCAACTTTCAAGTGATGTGAATATATAAACAAATATAAAATTTAATGCAAAATACAATTATGACCGTCGAACTGGCTTATATTCAAAGTGGACCCTTAAAGCTTCAGATGGAGCTAAAATATCTAGCTAAATGAAACAAAGTATACCGATGTGTCTCAAAAGAGGACAAATATTGTGTCTTATTAGGCCAAACTATGTATCATATGGCACCAGAGCATCAAGGTGTCCCTTTTTTACTCAAATTTTGTCCTGAAATTATGCAATGTCCATGACTTACAAAATTCTTGTGTCCATGTGCTCATGCTTTGTCAAATGATTGAATTAGCATTCTAGGACCCATCCTTCACGGATCCAAGCCGCTATGTGATGTCTAATGAGGTTGAGTTTCTGGGCAGTCTTGTAAGGACTTAAACTCATCAAAGGGAGGTAGTCTTTGGTGCTTTGTGTGGTTGAAGGGGACTTTTTGAATGTGGTGAATTAGTGTTTTGGGCTGATGCAAATAAAAATTATAATTTATTTATTTTTAATTAAAAATAGGAAGAGAGCTACGATAACGATAAAAATAAAAAACTAAAATTTTGAATGGAGTGAATTAGAGTAGGAGGGAGGATTTTTGGTACGTATTGTTAAGTGCAATAGAAAATTATTTTGAATGGAGTGAATTGCCAGATGAACGTAAGGTTAAACTTGTTGCTACCAAGCTCTGTGGGTACACTGCAGCCTAGTGGGAACAAGTTCAGCAATCTCGACTTCGTAGTGGAAAAAAAAGAATTACTGACAGTTAAAAGATGAAAAATAAATTGAAAGAAAATTTTCTTCAAGTGGATCATGAGCAAATTTTATTTCAAGAACTCCAAAATCTGCAACAGAATGAGCAAAAAATGAAAGATTATACTGGAGACTTTTATCGATTAGTTACTCGAAACAACTTCCAAGAAATGGAAAGACAAAAGGTTGCTTGATATGTAAATGACCTTCAACCAACCCTTAGGGACGACGCTTTTCTACATCGTCCATGGACTTTAAATGAAGTTTTTCAAGTTGCTTTACGAGTAAAAACTAAATATTAAATGAGCAGTGATAGACGATTTTACGTCCAGAAGAAGGTTTCACGCCAACCAAAATTTAATGTAGAAAAAATGGATGCTGCAAAGTTCACATGTTATCGATGCAATGAGCTAGGGCATTGTGCATTTGAATACCTAAAAAAGATGATGGAGGTACATTTAGCTAAGGAAGTGTGCAAAGTTCAAAAAGAAAATCACATTCAGGAGATAGTCTTGTATGGCGATGAAGGGGATCTGCTTTGAATCAAACTCGATATTAAGTTTCTCTCAACCTTGGGGAAATGATGCAAATAAAATTTGGAGTTTATTTATTTTTTTATTTGTAATTAGGAATAGGAAGAGAGCTTAGATAAAGATAATGTTAAGTAAAAGGAGGGAGGATTTTTGGTAAGTATTGTTAAGTGGAAGATTTTATGGAGAGACTTAAGCGGGGTTTAACTAGATTTAGTGAGCGATTTAAGTGAATTTAAATATGAGAAATATATAGGATTTAGATATGAGAATGTATGTTTTGGATTTATGAAAGGTTAGGGTATAGAAAATAGGGATGACACATAAGGTTAAGAGAGAGAAGATAGTGATAATGGTGGGTTATCTTTTGGTAGCAAATCTTTTAAGACTAATAATAAAGAGAAAATAGGGAGATGCGTGAGAGACGGAGGTTTTTTTTTTAGTTAATTGTTTTAAAGTCTATTTAAAAGGAGATGTCCCTTCATTGTAAACAATCAGATAAAAAATTGAAATTGAGTAAAATTTGATATTATAAAAAAATTATTTTTGAGGTAGATTCCATTACAGACATCGAGAGAGAGTATATTCTCTTAATGATTTTCTTTATTTTATTGTTATTGTTCGAGTTTTGTTTTCTTCCTTCGTGATACTACGCCTCCATGGGGATTGTTGTTAATATGGGCTGAAGCTCAAGATCTTTGTGAGTAATTGAAGTTGTCATTCCAGCGTATGTATCAATGGAGATGGTCTTGCAAAATGTGGGGCGACGATGTTGGAGCTTTCAGTCTCTAAAGATTTGATTCATGTTTAAGTGTTTTGCATTCATTTATCTCAAATAAAGTAAGTTTGTCAAAAAAATAAATAAATAAATAAAGAAAAAGAAAGTGACCAATTTTTAAAAAAATATACTAAACCGCTATATAGAAAAAAGTAGCCAACAGAACAACAGTAGCCAACAGATACTCTACACAACTAGAATGTTCAATTACTCTATCGGATAAAAGCTATGTTAGAAATAATGTTAGGATGTAACCTATTCAACTTATGGATTAACCTCAATTAAAATATTGTCTAATTATAGCCTCTATACACCTAAAAAAAAATATATCTAGACGTTGAATAGAGACAAACGAATATTTAAATGGTTATATCCAAGTGTTAGAAAACTCAAAATGAATTCTTATTTTTAGAATAATTGTCTAGTGATTCTTAAGTGGTTCCCAAAATTCATATTAAAAAAAATCCCCCGTTTATACTCTTACTTAGGGAATAAAAGTGAAACGGTGATTAAAAAAATGCCGAGTCGGTATGGAATCACCATGTTTGACTTGAGAATCAATATAGTTTTACACATATATAGGAAAATGACTGAATCTAGAAAGAAACTGGTAGTTCTGCACAGTAAATGGTGATTCTCTGCAGTAAAACGATGATCTAGACAACCAATTCATTAATTCAGACCGGTTTCTGGTTGGTTCACCATTTTTCACGTGTTTTTTCATCGGTTCATTGTTTTTTCTAAACAATAAAATGACGATTTGGATTGCTGATTCACCAATCTAAACTGATTTTTGGGATGCCCAATTGGGGCCACCGATCCATTTTATAAAAAAAAGACCAAGTCCAGGAGCGAACAGGTTGTTCAGCACAATAAAACAATGATTCTATATAGTAATACAGTGATTCGGACCGGTTTTTGGCAAGGCTCACATTTTTTCACGTGTTTTTTTTTTAGTTTATTATTTTTTTCATATAGTAAACCAGTGATCTGGACCGTCGATTCATCGATATAGATCGGATTTTTAGATGCTCCATCTGAATCACACGAGATGTGTTTTAAATTATTGAAGTAAACTATGCTCCCGAGAAAACATAGTTTATGTGCTAAAAAAGTATACCCTAGGAAGTGATGAACAATTTACTCCCGCAGGAGCAGAAGATCATGTTACATGACCAAAATAGGCAGGGAGGGATTGCGTGTTTTGGCTATGAGTCTCCGTTGAAAGTGGGGGCATTTTGGGGATAGAACCGGGAGGGAAAGGACAGTTGGTAGAGTAGTGTTTCCGTCAGAGAGAATGAAAGAGAGAGCAGCTTTTTGTTGGTGGGGACGCGTGCAACGCTTTCTTCCCACCTTTGGAAAATCACTCCTCTATTTTTTGGGTGCGGTCTGTATAGAGCCTAGGCTCTAAACAATCACGTTAGAGCAAACTTTTAAATAGTATCGAAAAATATAATTTTAATATTGAAAATCTTTGTGACAGTCGTAAAATATATTTTTTATTTTTATTTTTATTAAAAAATTTAAAGTTTTAAAAATAATAGAAAGATTTATAAAAGCTTGAAAATTGACAGTCCAAAAATACATTATAAAATACCCTATTTCCAAAACTTGAAATCTAAGTTTTTTTTATGTCTATGCATCTTGATGTAGAGATGATCAATTTAAAGATACTTGAGCATGAAAAACAACCTCTTAAAATTCTCGAGGTAGGTTCAAATTTGATAGATTAGAGCCTCGGCTTTATATAAATTTTTGAAAAAATTCTTGAAACCCTTAAGATGTACTTTTTAACGTTACACCCTATCCTCTTATAACAAATTATTTTTGTTAGAGAGGGCAGTCCGGCATTTCATAGTGGCGGTTGGGCAATTAATTTTTTTGGTTAGAATGGGTGGTCTGAAATTTGGAAGTTATGGCATCGTATTTTGAAGTTACGGTTCGGTCCGACGATTTGATATGGCAGTCTGAAATTTTGTAGAGGCAGTCTGTCGTTTTGAAGTACATCAGACTGAACAATCCGATGTTTTTGAAGTACATCAGACTTAACAATCCGACGTTATAACGTCTTTTTTATTGAAATCCGAAAATGATTTGTAATGTGGAGGGGCAGATATTTTTGTTGAAAAAAAAAATGCAAACTTTTAGAGTCAGCGGTATTAATTATAAATGTGATTTTTGAGAAAAATAAATGCGAAAAAGTTATGGATGGGGTAAGGTAATCTAAAAAGCATATTTTTGCAGGATTTTTAGCATCATTCCCTGAACTTTTCCCTTATTGTTTTTCATGAAATTCTTTGAAGTACTCTCTCATCATCATCTCTCTCTTGCATCACTCACTCATCGTACGTAGAGCGTCGATTTTATTGAAGGCGCAGAGAGTAGCAGCGTAGGAGTGTTATTTGGGCTACATGAACAGTTGTTTGGCACAGTGTTTCTTCTCCCCTCTCCTCACAACAATTTTGGATTGATTTTCTGGAGAGCCATGTCTCAGCCCAACTGGGAGGCTGATAAAATGTATATCTCTTTCTCTAGTCTTGGTGCTTGTAAACTCCCTGTGTCCCTCTCCTGTTTATGCTTTCTCTCTCTACGCAGATTGAATGAACTCCCCATTCTTCTCTCCTCTCTCTCTAGGCTCATGGAATGTAAACCCATTGTTCCAGTCCTCTGTTATCTCTCTCTCTCTCTAGGAGGAGTTACTGCAAAACTCCCTGTTCTCCCTGGAATGGAAACTCCCTGTTCGTCTCTCATGTTTATGTCGCCTCTCTCTCTCTCTCTTTGTTTTTTGTTTGAGAGTTCTACATTGGGTGCAGGCTTGACGTTTACATTTACGACTACCTAGTGAAGAAGAATCTGCAGGCGTCCGCCAAGGCCTTTCAGGCTGAAGGAAAGGTCTCTTCAGACCCTGTTGGTAATATTTCTATCTCTTTTTCTCTCTCTCTCTCTCTCTCTCTTTTCCCTCACTGTATTCAGACGCTTCTGATTTCTATCTCTCTCTCTATCTTCTGACCCTTTTGATGTTAGTCCTCTCTCTCTCTCTCCACTGCTTTTACAACCCCATGAACTAATCTTCTCTCTTTCTCTATGTAAAATGATTCTATTGGATTCCTCCTCCCACTCTTATTGCCATTGTGTTGTTTGGTTGTTTTCTCTGGTGTAATTCGTTTATGGATGAAAGTGTTGAGCTTTTGGATTTTGCAGCCATCGATGCACCTGGTGGTTTCCTCTTCGAATGGTGGTCTGTGTTCTGGGACATTTTCATTGCCCGAACTAACAACGATAAACACCATTCCTCTGATGCTTCCACCACTTATTCAGAGGTGGGTTTCCTGCGCGTTTCTCTGTACTTTGTTTTCATATTCTACTACACTCTGGTTTCTTTGAATAATAACATCATGGTTCTTTTGTTTCTGCCTCTCTCATTACTTTTTCAGAGGTGGGTTTTCAATGTATTTCATTGTTTATATGATCTCAATGCCCCAACTTGGTTTTGTCTAATAGATGACACTACTTTTCTCCATTTGCTACGGTGTAATTTGTCTAATAGATAACTTCCTATTCTCTTGTTGCTCTCACTACTATCATATGCATTCTCTCACTACATACACTTGCTTTCTCTCTCGTGGTTTTTGGGTTTCAATTTAGGCGCAAATTAGTAGAGGTCGGGAGCAGCAGCCCCAGCTTCAGCAACCTCAGCAGGTGCAGATGCAGCAGCTTCAAATGTTACAGAGACAAGTACAACAGCAACAGAGGAGAGATGGTGTAAACCTTCCGAATGCTAATGCAAATGGTTATACGGGTAGTGAGAATATAGTAAGGCAAAGTCAGGGTATGGCCAATGCCATGGCTACAAAGCTTTACCAGGAGGGCCTTAGGTCTCCTCATCACAGGGATGCTATGGATGATGCACTGCCCATCAAGGTAATTGGCCCCAAACTCAACATTTTTTTCATCTCCTTTCTGATTCCTTCTGGTTATTGGATGTTAGATTGATTTGTCTGCTAATTTCTATGATAATCCTTTGGGTTATAGAGAGAATTTAGTGATGGTGTGAGCCCTCAGTTGGATTCTAACCAAGCTTTGGCACTGAAACCAGCTGGAGCAGCTTCCCAAACTTCAGGGTACTTATTTCCGTATTTTTTTAGTCTATTGATGTATAGGGATTCTTATTTTGGTCATGAATGTAGAATCATTATATTTTTGTTTCGTTTTGAGGCTTTTGTTCTAGAGCTTGAGGTTCTTATTTTGACACAGGATTATGTTATTATATCATGTGATAAACTGATAATTCACCACTTACTTGCATCTATACTCCCCTTCCTTGCATCTACACTCTGAATGATGGAAATTTGCTTGCAAGTCTGAGTATTTATGGCACAGTTTTTCTCGGGCCAACAACTGAATCGATTTGCCCCCCTTTTCCAGTCAAGTCTTACATGGAAGTACTTGTAACATGTCCGGAACTCTTCAGCAAGTTCAAGCTCGTAACCAGCAGCTTTCAGGGTCCCAACAGGTCTTTATATCACATCTTTCATTGTTGCGTTATTTATTTCTTCTGGTGCAACCTTGTAAGCTGAGTGTTCGGTGTTACTGAAACAGGATATGAAAAGTGACATGGGTATTGTATTGCATTCAAGAGTTGGAAGTTCTGAAGGTTTAGCATTTGGTGCTCCAGGTACAGGTCATTTGAAGATGTGTGTTTATTGTTACTCTTTATCTCTCTGGTCATTGGGTATGCTTGTCCATAATTGCAATCTGTATGTTTAGTGTTATTCTGGATATGTCACAATCTTCATAATGGAGAGAGGAGCCTTTATCCAATATTTTACTGGGAATTTCCCTTGTAAGTCCATTAATAAGGTTTTCAACACTTTGGAGCCTCAAGAACTCATGCTTAGTTTAGTCTGGAACCAAAGCTGGTCATTTCAATTTCCATCTTCCAAGTCAGTTGAGATCCTAGTTCAAAGTCTTGACTAATGCTATGTTATCCGGGTCCTTAAGAGTATCTAGAAGGAAGTGTACTTCTTAATAATATAAACAAAACGCTCTATTAAAGGAAAAACACATTTTAGCTGCAATGATATACCAAACATCTTTCTTCACAGGCTCTAATCAAGGTGGTAGCAACTTGCCTTTGAAGGGTTGGCCTCTCACAGTAAGTTCTTCACCACAACTTTTTTTATTGGTAATTGTAATCTCATAAACACACACACACACACGTTAAAAAGTACAATAGGTAGGAAGTTCTTGCTATAGCTACCAGTTGAAGTTATATTTTTTCTCTTCATATTCTTGAGATATGCATAAGTTTTTTAATTATGATTAGGTAATTATTTCTTTTTTTTTTTTCGTTTTTTTTTAAGGATGAATGATTAATTCAGTTGTCTTCATTCGCTTGGCATAATTGCACAACGGGTTGTATTGGTCACATGGAATGATATTATACTACGCAAGTATTCTTCTCATAGGCCTGCTGGATTCGCAAGTGATTGGAGTTAAATTTATTATGCAACAATGTGTTCATCATTGTGGGGGCGTGCTCTATCACCTCTTGTTGTGGATTCACACTCATTATGTGTCTAGGGATGTGCTTATGAAGTAGACATTCAAAGACTAAATCCTAGCAACTAAGTCAATTTCTTATGAATGTCTAAATCCTGGCAACTGAAGTCAATTTCTTATATGATACTAATATGGAGGAAAAACCTTCTCTCTCTCAAAAAAACTCAATTTATACACTGTCATTATATAATGTATGAAAAACAGTCATAAAAAGTATGCTTAAGGAATTGTCGGAAGATTGTGCTTGTCTAAATGTTATCCTTTACTATTGCTTTATTTGGCAGAATGGAGTGCATCACTTTCTATATCTTGGATTTCCATTCGCACTAGATCATGTGTAACCAAAAAAAAAAAAATGTAGTTTCTGCCACCTTCATTTTGTGATGCGTCCCTTTGGAAATATCCAATTAACGAAAAAAAAATGAAGCAGATTTTCTATTAAAAACAAGAAAGAGAAGCATGTTAGGACAAGTTTTAGGTTGTGGCAACTGCTGGTCAGTAAATTATCATCACCATTTTAGGTTCTAATCGTATGGAATCCCCTACAAATTCTTGATGGGTCAAACGCTAGATGTGGTACACACTCGAAAATCTATCCCCATTACTGAAGTGACATCAGTTCTTTGCTTTGTAAGATTTCATATATCATTCTTTCTGTAAAGGAAAAGATTTTTCTTATAATCTATCTGTCATTACTCATTGGTGTGTTGTCATGACATCCAATAACATGGTATTTGAGCTTGACTGTGCTTATTGATGAGCCTTTAAAAGTTTTTGTTGCCTTAGTTGAGTCTGTATCTATGGGTTCGTTTACGTATTAGATATTTTCTTTTGATATGTGCATTTTGGAGGAGCTTTGTTATTATTGTTTTTTCACTTTTACTTGCTATACATTTTAAGATACTCTTGGATTAGGTTATCATTATTTTGACATAACCTGTGCAATGTGTGAAACAATTGCACAATAAATGAGTAATGATTTTCAGACTCCCTTCAGATACCTAAAAATTCTACCAACAACATCCTAGTGAGGAATCCTCAGAGCATGCATAAATTGACACAACACTTATTGCAAAAGCAATATTAGGCCTGATGATGGTCAAATAAATTATGCCTACCATTTTTTTGTGCCTTCCTGGATCCTCGAACAAGCCCGCCCCTAATTAGCCAGTAATTTTGTATTTGAAACCAGAGAAGTATCCACTGATCTAGACCCAAGTTTTCGTCAACAAATCGGTCACATTTTATTTGAGGCAAACTAGTGCCATGCGTTGATCTGGCCACTTCAATTCCTAGAAAATACCTTAGCTGCCCTAAATCCTTAGTTTGAACATATTGTTTTAGATGTCTCTTCAAATGACTGATTCCTTCTTGATTATTGCGAGTAACAACAATGTCATCAACATATACAACTAAAACAGCTATACTAGAGTCCTGTTTCCAAATAAACATTGAATGATATGCATGACTGCGTCGAAATCCATATGCTATAAGAACTTCACTGAACATTTCAAACCATGCTCATGGGGACTGTTTCAGGCCATAAATGACTTTCTTCAACTTTCACACTTTTTTTTGAGGAAAGATTAACTTGTATTAAAAGAGAAATAAATTACAAGAACATAGTTCCGTAGTCACCCACAGGCGGGGACACGGTAAAAAATGAGAGGACAAATATCAACAAAGATAATACAACAATATACGGATACAACAAACTAAGAAGTAAAGAAAAGCCAAAAAAGAGGGCTTATAGATTCGCCCTTTTACATTGATTGGCAATAAGCTTTCAAAAAATAAGTTCCTGTGCACGGAAGGACTACTGTCTAGGCAAACTGTCAGACAACCCCCAGTCTAGCATCAAAAGGGGGCCCCTGTCTTCTAGCCCCTTCTTTCACCAGTCGATCTGCGTAGGCGTTGGACATCCTCCAAGTATGCGTTCATACCCCTGCAAATTAACTGTATCTCGTCAAAGATAGGAATAAGGTGCCAAGGTGGAGGGGTTGAACCGCTAGCCCAAGAGATCATGTTAGAGGAATCCCCCTCGACTATAAGGTGAGAACCCCATGATGGGTTAAAGGATCTCAACGCTATTAACAGGGCCATACTTTTGGCCTGAGTGGAGTCCTTGGTACCTATGTATTTTTAACATTCAAGTAGGGCAGAACTTGCATGGTCTTGATAGATACGACCTGCTCCCGTTGGGCTCGGATTGCCTAAGGAAAACCCATCAAAGTTCAACTTGATAGTTCCTTGAGGAGGAGGATGCCAGTTGTTGGACCTTGTGACTAATTGCGGCTGAAGATAAAGGAGGTTGAACCATTGGGGGAGGAAGAAACTCCCTGGAATCCCCGCAAAGGTCTTGTGGTTGGATGCCCAAAATGTGACCGAGGATAATGCTCGATGGAGATCACGTTAGAGGCATCCCCCTCGACTATGAGGTGAGAACCCCATGACAGGTTAAAGGATCTCAGTGCTATTAACAGGGCCATACTTTCGGCCTGAGTGGAGTCCTTGGTACCTATGTATTCTGAACATTCAAGTAGGGCACAACTTGCATGGTCTCGATAGATACCACCTGCTCCCGCTAAGCTCAGATTGCCTAAGGAAAACCCATCAAAGTTCAACTTGATAGTTCTTTGAGGAGGATGCTGCCAGTTGTTGGGCCTTGTGACTGATTGCAGTCGAAGATAAAGGAGGTTGAGCCATTGGGGGAGGAAGAAACTCCCTGGAATCCCCGCAAAGGTCTTGTGGTTGGATTCCCAAAATGTGACCGAGGATAATGCTCGATCGAAAATGGCCAGGTGAGGGAGTTTACTTCCACGAAAGATTCTAGAGTTTCTTTCGATCCAAATGGACCAGATGATTGCTGCCACCACTGCCCTCCACAAGATTCTCCCAGCTTTGGGCCATCCAGAATCCAGGTCCAAAGAAATAAGATCCTTGACCGAGGGTGGGATAGCCCAGCTGATCCCAAATAAATTTAGTACTTTTCCCCAAAGTTCCAAGGAAAATTCGTATGTACACCTCTTCTTATAAATCACCATGGAGGAAAGCATTCTTGACATCAAGTTGCCACAACAGCCGTCCCTTGTTGGCGGCCACAAATATAACCACTTGAAAATCGATTAAGTTTAGCAACAAGAGGAAATGTTTGAGAGTTGTCAATGCCAAATGTTTGTGTGTATCCCTTAGCTACCAATTTGGCCTTTAATCTTTCTATAATTCCATCACGTTGATATTTGACTGTATAAACCCATCGATACCCAACAGTCCTTTTTCAGCTGGTAACTTGGTGAATTCCCATGGATTATTTGAATGAAGAGCATCCATCTCCTTTTCCATTGCCTTCTACCTAGTATGAGAAAGTGCTTCCCGATAGGTCTAAGGAATAGAAATAGATGAAAGGGCTAACAAAAACTTTGATATGATGTAGAAGGTCACAAAATGTGCAATTGGATTGTGGGGTAACAAAACTTCGTGAGTTCCCAAGGCGGGCTCGTTGATGCATGCCTACCTAGGGAGCCCGCCTAGTACGTGACTAGGTGGTCGGGCGGACGAATTTTCAAACAATGGTTGAGTACAAGACCTGATACCTTTACGGATGGCAATAGCTACATCATCATCACAAGAAGGTAGTGGATTAGTAGACAAAGATGATGATTGAGAGGCTGGTTGAGTTGGTTGGGGATGTCCACCTTGCATTTTTCTTCTAGTGTAACCTTTATGGGCTGCTAATGAGAAACATCTTGACGTGTAGATATACTAGGTTCATTGGAGTTAAGCAACAAGGGTGAAGAAGAAATATCAACAAGAATAGGAAGATGAATCATAGAATGTAAGGACTTTAAGACTTCTTCAGAAGTAGGATAAAAAATATTTATATCAAGCACATGACTCTTCTGAAAAATAAGGAGTATTTTAAAAAGATGTAACATTAACACAAACATATTCTATTTTTAAACTAGGATGATAACAATGATAACCTTTCTAACAGCGGAGAAAGACACCTTACCAATACCTTGTTGGGTTTTGTGGCCTTTACAGGCCGTGAGAGAATGTAAATACGCGTTATAATGGATTATCTACTTCAGTGGAAGTGTGTGCATTGGTTGACTTACCTAGGCTTGGGAGGGCTATGGGCCTGGTCATGTTTTACTTACTCTTGGGGAGGGTTTTCAGAGGGTGATTCCATGTTGAGGTTGGAGAGATGCCCATGGATGGTTTGTAGGCCAGAAGAACTTCGTGGTCTACTGTGTGCGGATGTAGGTCTGTGAGAGCGAGGGCTAAATCTTCAACAAACTTCTGTACGATATGTACACATGATAGTTGCATTACTAGGAAGCAACCTTTTAAAAAGGTTGCATATATATGTGCATAGAGAGTCTCCCTTACACTATAGTGATATGTGCATGTGACTTGTTCTTAAAGGGGGAGCCTGTATTCTACTTTCTGCGACCATGGTTCCCCTATTTTTTGACCAATTTTGATGAGCGGATTATGAGCCCCAGAATAAGAATATGGGTCATGGGTCTCTTTGGGTCAGTTTGAGAAGATAGTCGAGTACCATGGTTACTGGGTTGGGTGGAGTGCCTT